TGGATCTGGTTTTCATATGCCTTCACGGTGCAGCATAGCACTACCTCAACAAAGACTCAGACTCAGAGGTTATGGGTTGTCCCACTTCAGAGAGTGGGGTGCACCATTTTATATCTTCCTGTCTTGAAAGTGTAACCTTCCAACTCTTTTGATTATTCTCATAAGTTGTTCCTCTCTCTCAGCCAAGTGTGAACATGATACTGCAGAAACACCTAGAGTCCTTTAAAAAATTTATTGCTGACCATGGTTGGGGCTACTCAAGAACAAAGCTCAGCCAGCTTTCTAAATCCTTCAGCTGACTGCAAGTGCTTTGTGAGACCATTTTTTTCTCGTTTAGCTAATAAAATATGATGAGAGCTATCCATGGTTCTGTAGGATAATAGACTGCCTGTTGGGTTTGCCTTGACCTGTCTTGACTTGCTATGACCTGACTTATCTTACCTGCCTGTTTCAGACTTATCTACTGACTAAATCTGATATGCTTCATTTGTATCTGTCAATGTAGCCTGCTTCTTTCCTCTTAGGCATCTAGCCTTGGCTGCCAAGGTCCTGCTGTTTTACTTTCTATTGTATTTCCAGTCCCCCATTGCAGATTGCAAGAAGATTAGTGCAGCTTGATTAGCTCAGGAAAAAGTCAGGTGACTACAAGGGGCTATTAAATTTACCAGATAAATCACTCTTCTTTCTCTAGTCTGAGCAAATGCTCTCTTTGCCAATGTTTAAATTTCCAGCCACTTGTATGACTATCTACAGTACCACTTTCCATGATTAACTTCCTATTTAATCATATCTTCATCTCTCTAGACATGAAGACTCATAATCTTACTGTAACTAATCTCACCAATATGAACAGACATAGGTAGACATTTTTATCACTTGCTAATTTGTAGAACGTTCCCTCTGGAATATGAAGTTATATGCAGCTACAACTGAGTTATGTGTGAAGGGTGCTACTTACTTGTCAGGTTTTCTTCTTACAACTTGACAGCACCACCTCTAAAGCTTCCAGTACTGGATGAGATCAAGCAGGTCCAGATCTATTGTGTGCTCCACACACTCTTTTATAAACTCATACTGGCCCAGTTTTCTCACTAATCTTTTTTTTAACTACCTTTGATGTCTCATCTTCAGAATGCAGAGCTCCTTCAAGCTTTCCCCAGTGGCAGGCCCTCAGGGCGCTCATTATGTAACTCTCCAATCTGCCTCCTTGCCGGTTGCAATTGCCATTGGCAAACTGCTGCTCAGTAGGAAAATTGTGACGATGTTGCTGCGCATTTTGTCTTTTAAAGACAGATAGAGTGCTAATGTCACAGTGACCAGAATCCTGTTGGTGATTTAGTTATTCTGATGTCAAATAGCATAAGTTGTGATGGTATGTTGTTCTATTTAATTAGATGGTGGTCACACTCCTGGTTGTGCACCCAGTGGTGTAATGGGTATGTAACCAAGAAGGCAACCAGCATCTCATTATGTAATTAGCAGCAGTTCACTACCAGAATTTTCACACTTTCACATATGCATTATCTCTGCTTTCATTCTACCTTCACACAGTGTATGCTTGGAAATTGCTGTAGTAATGGCCATCAAACAGTTTTAAAAGCCATTAGAAATATTCATTATAAATAAGACTATCAAAAATATGATAGTTATGTATTACTTCTGTATTAGAAGCAGTGTTCTTCTCAGTACTAGTTAACTAGAGAAGAGCAGATAGATGCTGCTGTATTCATCTCTTACCTTGGGCTGCCTATGGGTAGCTGGGTGGGCACTGCAGAAGGAGAATATTGTATTGGATATTCCTTTGATCTGACCCACTACAACCCTTGTATACTGTTAATTACCAAGATAAAATGCATAGACTGAACAGAAATCTTAACATAGATGTCCAATAACCTACAGTATTTTACATTTTTTTAAATTAAAGGTATAGATCACATTTTGGCCATAAAGCCTTTAAAGCAGTGTATACAGCATATATGCAAAGAATGTAAAGAAATAAGATTTAAAACACCACTAAAAACCATCGAAAGAGTAAAACCACTTATCAGTTCTTGTTATGTGCTGTCAAATTGCTTCCAATGAGTTCTGTGTAAACAGTTGGCAAAACACCGTAGAGTATAATTGGGGCTCTAAGTAGAATTTGAAGGTTTGGTCTGAGGATTTTTTTTGGTTGGTTGGTTTTTGTTTTTTTAGTGGAGGAAGGTCAGCAGTGTGCATCTAGAAGTTGGCTTTTCTCCATTTGTGCAGTTACTGCACAGATAAGATTAGAGGATAAGTTGCTTTACCTACATCTAATCTTCAATGCTAGAATGGCATTTGTATTGTGTTTGTGCATACCCATGTGCATTTGTGTGAAGTATATTATTATTCTGTTGCAAACAAAGATTTCTGCAGATTCTTGAAATCCTCAAAGTTCTTTCAAAACTTCCCTATATTCCCTACAGCCCTTCCTCAGTATTTTTTCCTTGAGGGGTAGTCACAGATCTCCACAGTGCCTGGAGCTCTTGTTTTAAAGAACTTGGATCAAGAGTATTCACCTTTAGTTCTTCCTTCTTGCCTGAATTACTAGGCAGGCAACAGTTCCAATAATTTATTTCTCTCTTGTGCTTTTAAAAAAAGTGGGGAGGGGGTGAGACAGCATTCTTGGCAAATGTTTTGTACAGTATTCACTTATCTAGAAAAAATAACAAGAATAAGAACCCAGGTTGAGTGATATCTCCATCCAGTGTGTATGGATTCAAAGCAGAAAAAAAATTGTGGTTGACTTGTCTAGAAGTTTTCCAACACACATTCCAGTTCAGAACATGCTAAGGTTGAGAGCAAACCATATCTAACTAGGAAGGTTAACCAGAAGTCCTGATAAATCTGGTACTATAGAATTTCCTAGCTGGATTAGGCCAAGATTCCATCTGGTCCTGTATTCAGTCCCTAGCTATAGGAAGGTTACAGGCAGGGCATGATGTAACAGGGAGTGACCTGTGATTTGTTTTACTGTATTCAGTTATCCACATAAAGTAAACTTTTTATGAGTAGGCCCGGCTGACATAAGGGTTTCACTCAGCTAGGCCCATGCCTTCTTGTCTGCTGCTGTTCCTACTTGCTCTTATTGCCTGTTCAGGCATTCCATCTCAATAAGTGGGTGAGTGAGAGAGCAAACAATGAGAGGAGTATGGAGAAGGGGAGGTAATTGCCATAACCCTTCCTCTCCCTCTAGAGATTGATGTCAATTGGATCCAAAAAGAGAGACACATATACTTTTGAGAAGCACAGGGACACAGGTCACATTAAGAAAATACTAAAAACTCTTTGCCCATGTGCCTTACAGAATTTATAATTAGCACTTTAACCAGTCAGTTCAGTTGATCTGAGAGTAAATGAATGGCCTCTCTTGGATCAAGCCTTGCTTGAGTGTGGCTCTGCAACTCGTGATTCTCCTAAAAGCAGCTCTGTTGTGTGATGTAATGAGGTAGTGGTAGTGGTTATCAAGAGTGTAATTTTACACACTCTTGCTTAGTTCACCAATTGTAGATTCGGCTGGATGACAAGGATTTGTGCACTGCACCATAGTAATCACAAGACAGCATTACTGTAATGTATTTTACATGGAGCTAGCTTTCAAGAGCATTTGGAATTTGCAATTAGTCCAGAACACAGCAGCTGGGCTCCTAACAAGGCAGGCAGCATAAAGGTTGTATAATGGTTTTGATCCTCAACAAGCTGCACTGGTAGCCATTTAATTTTGGGGTTCACATCCAAAATGGTGGTTTGACTTTTCAGTCCAGAGACAATCTGGCTCCAGTGTATCTGAAGATGTGCTTCTCCATGTATGTTCCTTTCCTGCCCTCATGCCTTAAGATCTGCCTGTGAGATTGCAGTTAGCATTAGCAACACATTAGCAGGACAAAGGCTTTGTAGAGATGGCACCTTTATTTGGGGGACCATCTAGGTGACTCCCAGTTTTGTCACTCAAAAAACTTGTTAAATTTTGCCTTTTCAAAGAGTTTTGCATTGCTAACTTTGGCATTCAAAGTAATATATGCCACTGTACACACTACACAGTTTAGCTGGTTTTATTATAAATATTTGAATCAGTGTTTTTTGATGGTTATTGATGTTATTGAATTGAGTGGTTATTGAATGGTTATTGATGTTATTGAATGTTCAGATTTCATTCACCCTGACAACTACAATTTTAAATCTACCTTTACAATACAATAAGTAGTAATATATTATAATTTTAGAAATTATAATATAGAGACTTCAGTTGTGTTTCTATGGTGAACATAGATTGTGCACTTGCTTTTCTAGCCATGAGTACTTAGGCAAAGAACACAGTATTGTCTGGTCCAAGGAACAGCTCCTTTATGCTCTCATGCCCTGTCTTCCCATCTTTTCTGCCTGAGATCCTTTTATGGGAGATGCCAGACGCTGAATTAGGACTCTCTGCAGTGGCCAGCATTACCTTCCTTTCAATTTAACTTGTAGCAAAATTAAATATTATACTCTGAATACTGATTGTCAAAAAACAGTATGTCAGCAGGAACTTGAAGATTAAGTGCATGTGGACATCTAAGCTATTTTGGTTCTCATCTGTGTATCACATTCTCCTCTTCTACCAGTAGTTACACAAACATGTAGAGACAAATGTGCATTCTTGTGAACTCCAGATCTCAATGTAGTATGTATGTACAGTCTTTCAACCTTATTGTGTTTGAGACTGAAAGACCCACGCAAAATAGTGGTGTGATGTTCTGCAGAGTCAATGGGCAAGATGTTCTCAGTGTTTACCGGTGTGATGTTCTGCATCAGAGTCAATGGGCAAGATGTTCTCAGTGTATCTACTGTATCTTCCTCAGTGCACTCCCTGTCATGTCATGTCCTTTTTTGAATTGGAGTGTGAGGATTTCAAAGTAGCCCAGTAATTATTTACTCTTCAAGATACTTACTGTCCTAGGTCAGCAATTTCTGATAGTATAGAACCTAAAGACTTTACCTTTCAGGAGAGGATGAAGAAGATGAGCCTGAGATGCCTGTTGGGCCTCGTCCACGCCCAATGTCTGAACTGCACCTCAAGGAGAAAGCTGTCCCAATGCCAGAAGCCAGCGCTTTTTTCATCTTCAGCCCCAGTAACAGGTATTTTGAGATTATTGTGACATTTGACATCCATAAAGTCCAGGGCTAGATTTAAGGGTCACCAAGGTGGTCAGTCACACAGGACATTGAACCAGACATGTACGTCTGGATGAGCTGAAAAGGATCTCAAACTGAGCCATTGTAGGGGTTCTGACCTGAATGTCTGTGTTCATGTAATGTATTGTTTGCACTAAGCTGACAAAAGCTAGGAACAGCTACAAAGCGAATTAAAAAGTAAAGACTTTGACAGTTCTGCTGTGCTACGTAATACACTGCTACTGCTCAGAATATGGCCTTCTCATGTCTCCATACAACAAGCAGGCCACCGATTTTGGAATTAGGACCACACAATTAGGAGTGTCCCCGTGTTCTATCCTTGTTTTAGACTTCCAGTCCTAGAGAGTCATTTCTGCTGTCAACTGAATAGCTATTTGCAGTCATTGTTTAATTTTGAAGAAAAGGGCCAGGTTGTTATGCAAAAGAGACACCTAGCTGGATAATGTAAGGAGGTATATATAGATTCACGTCTTACTGGCTCAAATACCCAGTTAAGAAGCATTGTAAAGACCTCTGGGTAGTTTGGGCGGCATATAAATTGAATAAATAAATAAATAAAGCCACAGAAATCAATTTAAATATTATAAAGCAGTTCCCAAACCAGTCTCACCCAGCAGAAAGCGGCATACAAAGTCAACACTTGACACAATGAACAATTAAAAATTTGTCTAAAAGAAAATTCACCATTGCTTAAGCCAAGCTTTCAGACCTGACAGATCTAAGGTAGTCTGATACCAAAGTATGTCTGAGCCAATGTGTGCTGTAAATCAACCATGATTTGTTTGTTTATTTTGTGCGGAGGCTGATGGTACATGACTAAGGAATCCATTCTGGACTTTTTTTCCTACACTTTTTAATTAATTTTCCATAGGAATAGGGGTTGAGGTACAGACAGTGCAGTGGGGTAAAAAGGAGGGGAAGGACAACTTTTGTCTGGATTGTACCAGTTTTGATTTCATGTGAAGACTTAATAGAGTGTGCCTCCTCTATACACTGTCTCCCCACTGCCAGCCTCACAAACCCTCCATGTAGAAAACTCAGTGTCAGGCAGAAAGATTCTTAGTAACTTTCCACTTATACTACTTTTCTTTGTATTAGGGAATGTTTTGTATTGTAGACATTCCATCATGTGATATTTCTGCATCAGCTTACAATGATATAGCCCAGGCTTTGTTTGCACCACTTTGAATAAAGTCCTGTTACACAGCTTTGCATGAGAAACATAAAGCTGGGGGAGTGGTAGAAAAATTGTGGCAAGGTGGAAGTGCTATTTGTTAAGCCCTTCCACATGCATTTTTCACAATTGTTGCAACATAAACCATGCAACAGTGCTGGCTGCCTGGACACAACACTCAGCATACTGGGTGTTTTTAAGAGCCAATTAAAAACTTGCCTCTTTAGGCAGGCCTTCCCCCCTGTACTTGACTTTATTTTTATTATAATTTTCTGTTTTCCCATCTTGAGCACTACTAAGCATTACTAATTACTATTGTTTTGAATTGTTTTTAACTGTTTTAGTTTACAATGTTTGATGGAACCAGCCCAGAGTAGACTTTGTCTAAAAGGGTGGGATAGAAATCTAATAAATAAATAAAATAAAATAAAAATACTTATGCAAGTGTAAGTTTACATTATGCCAAAATTAATCAAATTTCAGCCTTTGAGTATTATCAAGCTTATAAAATCTGGGGAAGGTGTCAAACATTCCCCAGGCTTCGCTTTTACATGAACACTGTCTGACGAATATGATTGTGTCTTTCTGTCCCTTTTTCTCTTGCAGATTTCGTGTCCACTGCCACCGTATAGTTAATGATAACATTTTCACCAATCTGATCCTCTTTTTCATCTTGCTCAGCAGCATCTCTCTGGCAGCTGAGGACCCTGTTCAACACTACTCCGTTAGGAATCAAGTATGCCTCCTTCCTCCATAGTTTGTTCAGAATGAGGTTCAGTAACCAGATGAAAACCAATCTAGTCCTCCATTTTGCCTGTTCTAAATTCATGTTTGTGCAGCTGTAACTAGCAGCCAGTGCTCTATGCAGTCTGCATGCCAAATTCTGTGTGAATCAAAATCAAATTCTGCATTGATACTGAATTACACAATTTAAACATAACATTCATATTTTGAACTTATTTTGATTATTCTATTTTGACTATGTCTGTGTGGAAGAAGATAAGAGGGAAGATGAATGAAGAAACAAATGAGACAGAAATGGCTTTTAGGTGGGCAAGCCCTGTTAACAGATGGGGACTAGGGAGTCTTCCAAAGGTGGGACTCCCTAGGCAGCAGTGCTGGCTTGTGGTGACAGGAGCTGTTGATAACAAAGCACCCATAGTCTTACTATTGAAAGCTCTTGTACCCGTTTCAGAGCCTTCAAAGTATATTTACTACCAGTTTCAAAAACATCTTTTTAAGTCAAAAACATCTATTGAACTAGAAGTTGACCATCTCTGGCCTAGCTATTTTTACATTGCTCCTCTGTCGTTACTGGTGCTTTTTACTTTTTCTTTTTTTAATGACCTACTGAGTTACCTTGTTAATTTTATCTGCTAATTTACAAGTAAAGAGAAAATAAATAATCTACAAATACTGACTAGATTTATAAATAAGTAGGACAATTATAAATTTGGTCTTCTAATGTAGCCATTCCCAACCTTTTCTTGGCCGCAGCCATAAACAATATGAAAAAACCATAGGCCAAATCAAGATTGTATAGGTCACATAACGAATCTTATAATATTGTGTGTGAAGAATTGTTTCCAGTCTGTGGCTTCCTCCAAATGTGCTAGGGCCCCTCAGGAGGCCATATGACACCCATTAAGAATGGTTTCTCTAATGTATATGTCCTGTGACTATGACATAGGATAGAGCTACACTACAGTCATATGTCAGTTTTACACCATTTTAATTTTCTTATTTTCTTTCCTAAAGAATCCTGGAAACCATATTTATTATGGTTCTAGGGATGCTGGTAGCAATCTTTCATCCTGCTGATAAAATTATAATTGCAACAAATCTTTAAGAAAAGCATTATTGAGACTGTAAGTCTATGTACAGTGGTGCCTCGCATTGTGACGTTAATTTGTTCCAGCGAAATCGCTGTTGAATGAAAACGTCGTAATGCTAAATAAAAAAGCCCATAGAAACACATTAAAGCGCGATTAATGCGTTCCTATGGGCTTAAAACTCACAGTTCAGCGAAGATCCTCCATAGCGCGGCCATTTCTGGTGCCTCTTAAGCAAGGAATCCGTCCCAGAAAACAGCGGGCGGCCATGTTTTTTTCCCACCAGCTATTTTGAAACCGCCGATCAGGGAACCGATCATCGCAAAGCGAAATTCTCCTATAGGGAACATCGCAAAGCGATCGCTGTTGTGATTGCAAAAAGTTCGTCGCTATGCGATTTCATCGCTAAATGGAGCACTCGCTAAGCGAGGCACCACTGTATACTTACCTGGCCATAAGTCTTCATGACCTTGCCTCTTCTGGCATTGATCAGGACTTAACCTATTATTCCAAATGCATCCCTTACACAAACTCAGAGTGGATCTTCAGAGTAACTTCCAATGCTCCATTTATTCAGAAATAAAATAGTTATATGTTTAATAGACAATCATGTTATTATCCTCTTAAGAACAAATTAAAGCAGGCAGGTATAAACTTTCCTTTCCTAGGCCTGGTCATCATTCATGGTAATTCAGAAATTAGCAAGTGAGAGCTTATTTTAAAATTTTTACAAATAGAAAGCAAAAATGAGAGAGAGAGAGCTAGGTCAAAAGCTCTTTCCCTGTCATTATTGTTTCTTTGTAGACAGATGGTGTCATATGGAGAAACATTAAAATCCTGCAACATCTCACACACCCTATGGTGGTACAGTCCTGCCTCTTTGCAAGTTATTCTATCAGTGAGAATTCAGTCTCAGAGCAGAGCCTGGGCCAGGCCTCTTTGATGTTGCTCCTGAGCCTGCATCCTGTATTATTCTCCATATTACTTAATAATTTATCCAAGTTCTCAAATGTTCTTTGCATTCCATCTTAGTGTGGTCTTTCATTGGGATCTTAATTCAACTGAATATGATTTAAATCAGAATAAACATGCAATCTGGTTTCCAACCTTCTAGTAAAAAAAAAGGTGCTGGATGGAGGTGCTCTGTAATAATTTCCACATACTTTGTTATATTCTCAAGGTGTATAGTAAGAGCTGATTTAACTGAGATTCCCAACCTGTATCCACCAGTATTTTTATGCCACTCTGGAGAGGAAAATATCTTCAAACCCAACACTATCAGGGTGTTAAATTGGGCTCACTGGGATTACTGGATTTGGGCACAGCTATTATAATCCATGGAATACAGGGGGGCCTGGCGTGCTGTGGTCCATGGGGTCACAAGAATTAGACATGACTTAACAACTAAACAACAACAAATTATAATCCATTTGTAAATGTGGTCCACAGGTTCTACTGTTGAAACAATAAAAATACTTAGGAATCAATTAAAAAATCTGACAGCTGCTATATATTGACTAAGGTTACAAAACTATCTTGCTCAAATTCTTGACATTTAAAAGAAGCACAGAATTCCAGTTGAGCAGCCATGCCAAAACCATTTAAGAAGTAATTTTCAAGAGATGGTTCTGACTTCAGTGTCACTGCATAAGAGTAATCTAGACGGGTATATATTCATCAACCTTATTGTGTAACATTTTAAAATGATGTAAATCAGACTGTGCAAAACTTTTAAATTGGCTTAGAAGCCAGAATCCACACATACAGAGATACAAACAAATCCCTTCTACGTCTTATTAATAATAATTACATGTTGTTGAGTCAATTCTGCCTTATGGTGACCCTTTTCAGGGTTTTCTAGGTAGAGAATACACAGAACTGGTTTACCATTCCCTTCTTCTGCTAGTGCTCTAGGACTGTGCAGCTTACCCATGGCTACACAAGCTGGCTCTTCTTCCAGGAGGTACTGTGAGGAACTGAACTCCCAACTTCTAGTTCTGCAGCCAGATAACTATCCAGGCACTTTCAATGGTTACCTCCCAGTCTTCCCTTCTGAAATCTAAGGGTTAAGGGTGTGTGTGTCATGGTAAACATATTCACCATCATACAGGAGGTGATCCGTACCTGTGCAGAACCTCATCGTTAGCAGTAACCATTGACACAACTATTTCTTCTTCATGGCCTCTGTGAATCACACCATGGGTGATCCGTACCTGTGCAGAACCTCATCGGAAAGTTCTAGAGCTTCTGTGGTAGCAAAAAACACATTAGAATAAGGCAAACAAAGGCCCTTTCCCCCTCATATAAGTACCTTGGCGCCAAGGCTCCCCTTCCAGTTTCTTTCAACCACCATGTTGAGAGCCTCACAGTTCTGCTTCTGTGAGTAAAAGAGAAAGAGAGTTTATCCTTGATTCCTTTCTGTTATCAATCTTTTTTTCCTTTAAACTTTTAGATCAAATTCATTATCATCAGATATTTTTTTCTTTTCTACTTTGCTTACCCTCCAGCCACAGCACACACACACACACAAACACACACACACCCGATCATAATTTTTTCTCCTCTAATTATTTTTTCCTATTCATGGCCCCATTGGGCCCATTCAAGCACTGCATAGTCTGTGATAACAAAATACCACTCTACAATGGCCATGCCAAGTGTTGTTGTTTTTTTTTGCTTCGGAGAGGCATACCAGACATCCTCTTGCCAGCATTGTAAGAACTTCAAGCACAGAGTCCTCCATTCTCACTTATCCAGATTCGACCCACTCACAGACCCTCCTCACACTCTTTTAAGAATCACCCCAGAACTTGCCTCCCAACTTCAGTGGTGGCGTTTTCATCCCAGCCTATCCGTTGGGCAGGCGTTCTGACAACCACGACCACAAATATAGATCACCACTGATGCCAGCCTCACAGGCTGGGGAGCTCACTGCAGATCTCTCAAAATCCACGCCAAGTGGTCTTCCAGAGAGAAATTGCTTCACATCAACGAATTAGAGCTGTTGGCAGTTATAAAAGCTTGCAAAGCTTTCAGAAATCTACTCGCTGGCAAGATGGTACAAATTGCCACCGACAACACCACAGCAATGTATTATATTCTAAAACAACGTGGCACCCACTCTCCAGGTCTCCTCTGTTTAACAGTCAACCTCTTGGAGTAGTGTCTATCATATCTGCCTCACAGCTTTACATATTGCCAGCCACAACAGTGCCTTGGCTAATCTACTTAGCCACATGAACTCTCAAGCTCACGAATGGGAGTTAGATCAATCAGTCTTTCTTTGCCTATGCGAACAATGGAGCAAACCAACTCTTGGCCTCTTCGCCTCCAGTGTAAATCGGAAGTGCAAACGATACTGCTCCTGAGCCAGCATTGGCAAACACTCCCAAAGAGATGCATTCACCGGCTGATGGCCCAAGACCCTCACTTAATTTTTCCCACCGTTCCCGCTTCTCCACAATGTCATGGTTCACCTACGACAAGACAAACCCAATGCCAATGTTATAGCCTTGTGGTGGCCAAGACAACCCTGGCTTCCAGTACTTCACAATCTCTCATCAGACATTCACCACCTGCCCCACGCAGAACAACACCCAAGTACTCTACCCAGACTTACCTGTTCTGCACCTGGCAGCATGGAGGATTCCGCCTCACTAATGAACGTTCTCTGTCAATGAAAGAAGCCCTCCACTAGAAAGGCTTACCTGTATAAATGGAACAGATTCAAATCTTTCACTGAAGCTTCTTCATTGCCTTCTGTCAGCCCATTACTTGCTACTGTTCTACGTTTTTTGCTTCATCTCAAATCCATCGGCTTTTCCCTTTCTTCCTTGAGAGTTTACCTCTCTGCCATAGTTTCTTATCAGCCCCCTAACTGTCTGGCAGCTGATTTCTTCAAGCATCCAACATTGAAATGTTTTCTTAAGGGTCTATCTCATATATACCCAGATACCCGCCCACCTTCTCTGCAATGGTCACCGACACTAGTAGTGCAACAGCTTACTAAAGCTCCTTTCAATCCTTTACTTCAACTGATTTACAGTTACTTGCCTTTAAAACAGTTTTCCTCATCACCATCACCTCAGCTCAATGAGCTAGTGATTTAGCGGCCTTACGTTACGACTATTCTTATTTACAGTTTTTTCTGGACAATGTCAAACTATCCATGGATATTTCTTTCCTCCCCAAAGTCGTATCTCAGTTCCGTCTCTCTCAGCTGTTTATCCTTCCTTCCTTCTTCCCATCACCATCCACAACTTAAGAAAGAATCTTCCATACATTAGACATTAGGCAAGCCCTTGCATTTTACATCCAATGAACCCAACCTTTCAGGTGATCACCTCGACTTTTCATAAGTCACCAACCACCTACTAAAGGTCACCAGATGATGTCTCAAACTATATCTAGATGAGTCGCTTCAACCATTCACCTTGCGTATCAGCTGGCATGCTAACCAGTCCCAAAGTTGGTTAGCCCTCAATCTACCAGAACAGTGGTGACCTCTACAGCATTCCTACGTGGTGTACCTCTTCCAGATGTCTGTGCCTCTGCCACCTGGGCACAGCCATCCACTTTCATCCAGCATTATAGACTTGATCTCTGGCAAAAGTCTGATGCGATCTTTGGATGTGCTGTTCTAACCTCTACCTTGGCATGACACCCTGTTTCCGGGTAAGACAGCTTTTTAGTTGCCCAAGGTGTGATTCACAGAGGCCACAAAGAAGAACGACAGGTTACTCACCTGTAATTGTAGTTCTTCAAGTGGACCTCTGTGAGTCACACATCCCACCTGTCCTCCTCACTGTCACGCCATTCTGTTTAATGTAGCGGCGGTTGACACAACTGAAAGGAGAGCCTTGGCACCAAGGTACTTATACAAGGGGGGAGGGGCGTTATTCTAATGTGTTTTTTGCTACCACAGAAGCTCTAGAACTTTCTGATGAAGCTCCGTGCAGGTGCGGATCACCCAGAGTGTGAATCACAGAGGTCCACTCAAAGAACTACAATTACAGGTGGGTAACCTGTTGTTCTGGACTGGTAATAGTGTTCCATAGAAACAGCATTTCTGGTAGCATGGTCATTGTGTATGTACCCTGCAGTTATCCTTACTAAAATCTGTTTGTTTTCTAGCCACTACTAATGGTAGGAAATTAGCAGTCGCAAGTCAGGATCTCGGGGGGGGGGATGTGGGAAGTGAAAGCTTTTCAGATCTTCAAATTATCTCCATCAAAATTGCTGTTTCTGAACTGCTATTGGTGAAAGATACTAATGAGCTTAGAAGGGTTTGGGAGATGGGCAAAATAAATGGGAAAATGACAAGGATGACAATACAAATATATTGTAGCATTTTAAATACTAACAGATTCATTTTAGTGTGAGTTTTTTGTAGACCACAATCCACTTCTTCAAATATTTTCATCCATTTCGTTCACCAGTGATTCTGACTCAAACTGTTGTCCTGCATTACTAATAGCAGCATGAGAACAGCAGTAGTTTCTCAACTAGTGAGTGAGATGGTGAGGGAAGGTGGCAGGGACTATATTTAGGGAGTGGCCATGAAATATCAGTTAGCTTCTCTTTTATTTTTTACCAAGATGAAATAATTAAGAAGTATCCACTGAATTTAACAAAACAGCTTTAGACTGGATGGAAAGAAAGATGGTGAAGCCTTTCTTCCTGCCTTGGCTAATGATTGGTCCCTAATGCATCTTTACATGTGCTCTGTCCAGTTGGCTTTCCATTTGTGATGTGATAAGGTTTCTGGGCTCCCTCTTAGAGTCAATAACTGTACTGTATAAGGTTTAATCAAACTAAGTGTGGAGTTGAGCACAATCAGCAATTGCACTTCTAACAATATAGTTAACAACATTCAGGAAAAAGAGGATTTAGTTGCTAATACAAAGCTGTTCCTGCATTTTGTTTGTCTATGGCTGGATACTAGGCCCACAAGTTAATAATAATCCTCCTGTTCACTGCTATCAGAGCTACAGTGAACCTTGCAGCTTAATCCTAATACTGTTCCTGCTCAGAAATATATAAATGCAAACTGTAGGATTACAATTTTGTTCAACTGAGAATAGCAACTCCATACCTGTTTGAATGTTGCTCTCCCATACCACGGTAACTGACACATGAACTGCTTTGTCCTAGAAATAGAAATTAAATATAAAGTGGAAACTGTATTATTCTTGTTCATCCAGAAAAAAATTAAATATCTGTAATGGCAAATATTGCCTACCAATGTGTATTTTTCTCCATTTGATTTTTACTTATTATTTGCAAGAGGAAAGTCACACAAGTTGAACAATGGCTTTAGGAAAAGGAGATGGATATTTTCTGCTTGGGCAGCACAAATAAAAACAAAGGAGCTGCTGCATCTTGAAGACAAATGGATTTATTTCAGTGTGAATTTCCTTAGATTCCATAGAAGCACCAAAAAAACTGGATTGTAACTCACAACAAAGTAAAGTGCAACTCACAAAAACTCACATTGACATAAACAGGTTACAGTGGTTCCCCACATGACGACGATTACCTGTTCCATAGTAATTGCTGTTTAGCGAAAACATCGTCTTGCGAAAACCGTTTCCCCATTGGAATGCATTGAAACCCGTTTAAAGCGTTCCAATGAGGAAAAATCATAGTCGTTTTGCGAAGATTGCCCACAGGGAAGTCATTTTGCGAAGCACCAGTCAGCTGTTAAAATGGCTGCCCTGCGAAGCATCGGCCCCGAAAACACCCGTTTTGCAAAGCGCCAATCAGTGGCAAAATCGTCGTCTTGCAAAAATCGGTATGGAAAGCAGGGATGCAAACATCGTCCAGCGAAAATCGCCCATTGGAATCAGTGTTTGTGAATCGCTATAGCGATCGCAAAACCTCATCATCATGCGGATTCGTCGTTTTACGAGGTCGTCGTCTAGGGAGGTACTACTGTAGTCTTAAGGGTGCTACAACTCTTGTTTTTATTTGTGCTATACATGCTGAAACAGACTAACAGAGCCACATTGTTGAAAAATATTTCTACTGGATATCAAATATATTCTAGTGTGGAGCTTAATTTGGAAAATACTGAAAATGTCTGTTATTTAAAGGGAAAATACTTCATTGGATTATGAAAATGTACATGGCAAAATAGTGAACAAAGAAAGATGCTGTCTAAATGTGCTGCTTGTAGCCTGATCATTGCCTTCACCAAGATGTTGTTACAAAGCTATCTTCTCCCACACCCTGTTCCCCTCCAGTTAAACCAGTGGTGCTTTTTGATTTTGTACTGTGATTTGCTTTTGCAATGAACACTCACAGATCTTCCCCTTCTCCTGCCCCTATTCCTTTTTGTTTTACAGATTCTCTTTTATTTTGATATATTTTTTACTGTCATTTTCACCATTGAAATTGCTCTGAAGGTAAAGTCCCCATCTTCTCTTCCATTATCTTCTCAGTCATGAGCCCACTAGTTCTCTGCTGCTGCTCTCTGTCGCTAACACACGCGCCTGTCTGTGTCTTGGCCACGCTGAGTAACCACTAACCCAACTGTGCTTATTTTTCAGATCCTAGGCAATGCAGATTATGTCTTCACTAGTATCTTTACATTAGAAATTATTCTTAAGGTAACCAATACGAGCAATAAATGTCTCTCTCTTGCTTTTGCTTTGTCTTCTGTATCGCTTTAAATCCCAAATACCTCCATAGACAGGATGTCCTTTGTAGCTTAGTAGTGCCTGTGTATGCTTTTTAAAATTGTTCCATTTTAATATTATAATTCTAATACTATGTATAAATGCCTTGTCATGTATTACCCCAAAGGAAGTATATCATTGCTTAGGAAATTCAGGGAAAGGCAAATGTCCCAGAGCACAGTGTGTGTTCACTATATAATACAGCAATATCTACCTGTCCCTTTGAAAAGGTCTGTGGTTTGTTTTTTGGTGGGGTTTTTTTTTTTTTTGCTTTTTATAACTTTCTGATGCATTAGTTTAAAAAAAGCATAAGAATCACATAAAACTTAAAACATCCACTCATAATGTCTCTGCAAGGCCGTTAAATAGCAGCTTTAAAACTAACTAGAAAACCTTTCTTTTTCTTCATTAAATCATCATAGACTAGGTAAAAAAAGTTGTGCAATTGAATGTGCACTTACTTGTGCACATAGTTATGCACCCAGGCTTGTGACAGATGGCTGGTAAAATGTGAAAACTACTTGTGGAATTGCTCTTACAATATTTTGGCCACAGTGTCTGCTGCTGTTTAATATCTCCCTCTTAAGAATCCATTTTTCCCCAGCATTTTCTTTCCCCAGAAGAGGCGGTCTTTAGAGTTTAAAAACATCTAATTGTATGTAACTTATAACTGCTCTTAGAAGCAACAGGAATCACAGCATTTTGGAATCTTTGATGAAAGATAATAGGATGCAGCCTGATGATTCCACATAGGCAATTCGATCAGGAATATTAAAAACAGTAGTGCTCCTGTATATGTAAAATATTACAGGGCAAAAGATCACATTGAACAGCTCTGGAAGCTTATTCCCATTGACTGCTCCTAAAACTCATCTCTGAAGTTAGAACTGCTACAGTCCTAGTACAGGAGTAGAATTTATAATATTAAATGAAAATGGCATTGAGTTCTTCCTGTTTTCATTTCCTTTATGAAACCTTTCCTTAATCCAAACTTGCAGTATCTGCTCACTAATGTATAGAGCTGGAAATCAGCTGTAGAATCTGTCTTTTATAATGGTCCAATAGTCTGTGAGCCTATTCATTAAATAGATAAGCTGCCTCCCTACCTTTATTTCCCCTGCTATTAGGTAACAGTTACAACTATGTGATTCCCTCAAGAGAATACTCTGCCTGAGATTACATGACAGTGCACTAAATCATTCATAGACAAAGTTGTTGGCAAAGAAAATTAAAATGAGCTCTCATTCATTCCACACTCATTTACAGAAACGAGTAATCTAGTTCTTCTGTCTTGATGTGTGGAGTATCAGTATGACTTGTTTATACATACACTTGAGCCAAATGTCCATGTGACATCGCTTTATAATTATGACAAGGGCTAGAGATTAAAATCAGAAAAGGAAAGTAGGCCACGGTCAGCACAAAGAAATCATTCCTGAGCAATGCCTACTCACATTGGTTGTCAGACTTTCAGCCAATCAGAAATGGGTAAAACTCTTACATTGTGCTTCTTATAATAAAATCATAGGTAAAGGTAAAGGTAAAGGTTCCCCTTCACAATTTTTGTCCAGTCGTGTTCGCCTCTAGGGGGCGACGCTCATCCCCGTTTCCAAGCCATAGAGCCAGCGTTTGTCCGAAGACAATCTTCCGTGGTCACGTGGCCAGGGCGACTTAGACACGGGACGCTGTTACCTTCCCACCGAGGGGGTCCCTATTTATCTACTTGCATTTGCATGCTTTTGAACCACTAGGTTGGCGGGAGCTGGGACAAGCGACGGGTGCTCACTCCGTCACGTGGATTCGATCTTATAGCTGAAGATCTACAGACGTTACAGCACAGAGGCTTCTGCGGTTTAACCTGCAGCGCCACCACGTCCCTAATAAAATCATATAAGGCAGTAAATGAAAGGAGGCAGGAATACTTTACAAAGTTGTTTTTCTCCTTCCTTCTTCTTTTTGATATATAGTTTGGGGGACCAAAGCTTGCTCCCCACATCTTCCTCTTTTTATATATCAAGTAGGAGAGAATGAGCAGAGGTGAACTGGTTTAGTACATTTCCGGCTACCAGAACCCTCCTTTCTCAGGGTTCACCTTTCCTGAACTATTGGGTTGTTGGCTTTTTCCACTGAAGACTGGGCTAATAATCCCTTGTTATTTTGATGAAAGGAGGACCATGTGGGAGAGGAAAGGCTCTCAATTTGGAACAAATGATCTTTCCTTACAGCCTTAACTAATTTCCTAGAAAGTGATCCTGCTATTACAAATATATTACACTAGAGTTTGAGAAAAAAAATTTTAATGGCAGCTTCCTAGATCCTCCAGCCATCATGGTCACTGGGTACTGTAATCTTACAAAGTAACTTTTCCAAGATATGTATGATATATATTAAAAAATGAAGTATATGGACATGGCTTTCAGTATGTGCTGTTACCTGAGGCACAGTGGAACCCACATTAACAATTAATATATACTTTCAGAATGTTAATATAAGCCTATAATATATGTTAAACGTATATTTTCTAACAGGAATAAAGAAAAATGTCTGAAGAATTAAACTTACAGTATAGCAGTCATGAGAGCCCAGAAGACCTATGAACTACCCACCTACTCTTCCCATAATTCAAAGATACAAGGGAATATTTGAAAAAAAAATCCAAAGACATTACTCCCCTAATGTATAAACTGAAACCATATTATACAGTTTGCTATGCCACTGAATTTCTCAGCAAGAAGAGATAAAGCCACCTTATACAGTAAAAGAAATTCAACAGAGCTTCCCATTCACATTTCAATGGTGTCTCTCCTTCTCCCTAAGATTGCCATACAAAGCCTCAGAGGCATCTTTACTACCTTTGTTATGGCAAGAATCCTCCCTTCCCCAACCAGTTATACCCTCCTGTATAAACTCTACTTAAAGAGCAGAGTTTATACTTCCTTTCTGATTTCTTCCTGATAGATCAGTTGTAAGTTCTTCCTAATGTCATTTGTTTTTTGATGGTTTCAAAATTTAATTTATTTACAACCTTCTTCGGCACATCTTTATAAATACTGGCTGGAAATTAGGTCTTCTAGCCCAAATACATCTTTGGTTGGCTGGAGAAATTCAAGGAAGTAGCTAAGGTGCTTTGGGGGAGGGGGGTTGCACTTCAGTTTGAGAATGCATAGACCTGATGAGTTTATTGAAACAAAAAAGGATCATACTGAACTCACTTTTACAGGTAATGTTTTGTTTGTAGCACTTGGCCATGGTTCCTATAAACAAAAATAATCTTACCAACTTGGCTGTGGCAATAAATTGCTGAGTTATTTTAGTCTGCCATTGAGTGATAAATATAAAACAGATTTCTTTAAAAAAAAACAGGGTGCAATGGGATTTATTTATTTGTTGCACTTCTATGCTGCCTTTCCAAGGTGGCTAAAAATTGGGATTTTTAACTGTCCTGTGAGAAGAACAGGACTAAATTCCTAGAAGTACTTAGTCCTGGTCATTTCAACCCTGCTAGCACATAGTTGAAGATGGGTATACTATTAGATGTATCATCAGCACTAATTTGATACTCCCAAACAGGAAAACATTGCCTGTAAATGAAACCTGGAAATCTTGCACTACTGGTATCTCATTACTGTAAAATTAAATGTTCCAAAACTTGAAGAGGTTGCAAATTTTGATCCACACCCATTTCTGCTGTCACTACTTACCAGATTATGTATTTTTTGCAGTCACAGACTCATAAGGTGAAATAAGTATCAGTAGCCTGGATTTTTAAAGCACCATATGGTACTGTGTGTTCTTGACTCTGCTTATGGGTGGCATTGTGGATGTCAACATAGGCAACTATAAAAAAGATAAAAGATTTATTTCAGCAGTTTTTTGGCTCATGAAGGTGACCAAAGAAGAAATATTAAAGTGGATTAATAAAAGCCAAGTAACCATAAAACACATTAAATCTAGAAAGCTGGAATATTTTGGTCATGTAATGAAAAATGAAAAATATAACTCATTACATCTCATCATTCAAGGTATTATAAATTGGAAAACAAATGCATAAAGATGAATTATTGGGTGAAGACCCTTGGAGAGTGGTTTAAGTGCAACATGACATCCTTGTTTAGAGCTGTATCATCTGAAGTCAAAGAAACCATCAGTCAGTTCTGCCTCCAGTAGAAGAAAAACAAGCAGCAACCTGTTTTTTTAATGAACTGACTGATAAAAATATGCCAGTAAGTCAGCAGCAGGAATATGAGACTTGACCTTCCACCCTCCTTATACCATTCTTACGAAAGACCCTTCTTCAAATTGTCATCATCAGTCCACCTTCTAGTACATGAAAATTCAGTAAAATGAGAACAGTGACTGAAATTCTATTATTGCTATGCATGTGGAAAGCAAATGGTGTAACCTCCTGCATCTCCCCCATGAACCTGCCCAGACTTTAAAATCATCAGGGGAGGCCTTTTTCTCAGTCCCACCACCCTCACATGTGTGCTTGGTGGGGACACGGAAGAGGAACTTCTCTGTGGCTGCTCCTAGCCTCTGGAACTCCCTCCCACAGGAAGCTAGGCTAGTCCCAATTTTGCTGTCCTTCCAAAAGCAGACAAAGATTTTTCTCTTCAAGCAGTCTTTCCCTTTATAACTGGTAATCTGAGAGGGGTTTTTAAATGGGCGGGTGTGCTCTGTTATTTTAAGTGCGTTTTAGTATTGATTATATTGCTGTTTTTAATATAATACTTGATTAATTCTTTTATTATACTTGTATACGTAGTGTTTTTAGCTTTTAAATATTGTTTTTTTTTCATGATGTAAGCCGCCTTGGGGATTTTTAAGGAGAAAAGTGGGATAAAAACATTTTAAATAAATAAATAAGAGTAAGTCACCTTTTGTGCCATCCAGCTGCCAATTAGGAGTCCCTATTAGGAGTTTTGAATGTGCACCATGCACTGGGTGCGTGTTCCCCTGAAAGAATTCCAGTAGTGACTTGCTTGTTACCAACTAGAGGCAACTGAATGCTACACCATTTGCCTTCTGCATGCTTAACAACGTACCAGGTAGAGATGTGAATGGACAAAACTTTCGGGTTTCGTTCATCCTGGGTTCTTACAGGATGTATTTCATTCATTTGGGGGTCTTTTGAGTACCAGTCCTTCTGTTAAACGTGAAAGGGACTGGTTCTTTTCATTTTATTTTTCCCCGTTCATGCTTGCTGTAAAAACTCTGGGAAGGGGAGAATCATGGCAAAAGGATTGAGAGACAGTGAAACAGAGAGGAAGGAATGGCACCTGAAGTCCCCTACACATGACCCTCAAGGCATAGCACTTATCACCAGCTGCCTCATCTTTTTGCTTCTGCTGCTGCTGCTGCCAAGTGTTTCCTATGAGCTGGAGGTAACTACAGTATTAGCTCACCAGTACAGTTGCTACTCTTCTCCCAGCAGTGGCAGCCATTAAAGCAATAGGCGCAGAAAGTGTCCACCGCCAGCACCATCTCCTCCTCCTTCAGTCTCTTCTCTTCTTTCCACTCATTCGTGCTGCAGATGCTTTCTTGCAGTGCACACACACACACGTATGGATATTTCAGCCTCCCTCCACTACTTGCCATGTACACTTTTTCCAGCACTGAGGGAATGGGACCAGTTGAACGAGGGAGCACCAACCAAGAGGCAAAACACCAGCCACTAGGTTGGGGAAAAGGCAAATGCTTCCCTTTTGCACCTTGCAGGCACCTGTGTATGTGTGTCCCTGTGCACGCAAAACCAATGTCAGTGGCGGCGGCAGCATTGATTTTGAGCTGAGTAGATAAGGTGGTTGAAGTGGCAACAGGGACCTTGCAAGGCTTCAGTGTCCTGATGGGATGTTGAAACAAAGAAAGAACACTAGTCACTCTTCACTGGGTCCCAACCAATCCAGGCCTTTTTACTGATTCAACCCCCACCCCCGTGAACGTCCTGATTGACTCTTGCCAGCAGCCCTCATGGCACTATTTGATTAAACATTTCCTGGGCAGTTAGACAGACAGGAAGTAAACAAAAGGGCAAATGAAAGAGGGAAACATTAAAGAACCTGTCTTTCATTAAAGCACAGCATTCAGATTTAATACTCTCTATTGGGAATCAAGGAAAGAACCCAGAAATGAAAGTAAGAGCCTTCTTTGTTTTCTTCCCATCATTTGAGTTAACCTGAAGGTCCCATTCCTAGCAACAGCATTTCAGGCAATATATGAAGGTTCCTGCATGGGATAAGGCAGTCTCCAAGATATGCTTGCATTAATGTCTGAGAAGAGAAAAGCAATCTATATTCTATTTTTTTCAAATGAACTCAGTACTATGATTTCTGTATCCTTTCTTTCCAAAGGCAAGAAATTACTATGGACTGCAAAGTAATTCATTATGGGCTGGATGTTATTTGCAATCTTTTCTTGCATATTTTTTCTTGCATATAAAAAACATCTTATTCTTTCATTTCCTTTCTATGAAACATTGGCCTAGAATGTTAATAGTTTTTCTGCTCTACTATATTGTGTTGTCCCTCCTCCTGCTTGCTCTGAGAAAGCAGTTCCTGTAATGTACTAACAGCAGAGTTTCTTTATGTCTCCATGTGCTTGCCCACAGATGACTGCCTATGGGGCTTTCCTCCACAAAGGCTCCTTCTGCAGAAACTACTTCAACATTCTGGACCTGCTGGTGGTTAGCGTTTCTCTCATCTCCTTTGGGATCCAGTGAGTGAGCTATTTTCAGCTAAAAAAAAACCACTTGTAGATGAAGAGTGGGGAAGGGCAATGAAACAAAGGGGAAAGGTCATCTTTGAAATACAAGTCAGCTATGGTTAGTTGTGTCTGTGGTTCTTACTGAAAAATAATGAACACTTGCATCTGGCACTCTTCTCTTCCCATTGCTTGTCTATACAAACATCCTTTGCCCACTCATAGCTAGTGGGTGTTTGATTAAGGTTAGTTTTTCAACTTCCTCCCACATCCTGCCCCAGCAATTTGTTTAGCTTTGTCCTGCATCCCCTACATAAACATGTTTGTGTTACTGATCATAATTATCTTGCAAAATTGTTGGAGCAGAGCATCATTTTGAAGTTCTGGATTAGGCATTAAACCTATTAGATCACTCAAAACTACAAACAAGGCAAGCTTTAAAGCTTTGTACAACTTTTAATCAGGCAAAAATGAACCTTGGAGTTTCTGCATGGTTTTCAAGCAGCAAATCCAAAAACTGTGCCAGATGTGGTGCTCATGGATCATGCAGTTAATAATAAATACTTATAAATCTCAACAATAACAAAGGCAAGCGGTTTGCATATACTTTATAAAGGAGAAGGACAGGTTCCTTTGCTGAGAAGAATATAATCTAAAATTTAACACAGGATGATGAAGGAAACAGAATGATTTGGTTTCTTGTCTTTGTCCAGCTTAGAGTAAGCTGAAGGAAGGAACAAGACACTAGCATTCTAAAATGCAACTTTAGGGATATAGGATGGAGCTGAATATTTGAAGGTAGCAGAAAACTTTAGAAGTGCTCTGAGTGTTATACTATAGCCTCAAGATGGGTAGTATAGAAATCAAACAAACAAACAAACAAACAAACAAACAAACAAACAAATAAATAAATAAATAAATAAATAAATAAATAAATAAATAAAGTTCAGGGACAAAAATTAGGATAAAGATATAGCTGGTTTTGAAGAATGTCCTAGACTGAGGACCACATCTAGACCCCTGAATTTCCTGAAGTAGGGTGTCATGTGATCAGAGTGCCAAGGGAGACAACTAAATTGGATAGCCATATACTGGATAGATGTTGAGGACTAAAGTGAAACTGGAAGATCAGAGAGAAGATTTCAGGGGTATACGCAAGGTAGTACTACCATAGGGCTCTCTTTTTTCTTTTTCTTTTGCTAAGGAAACAAAGAGAACATATTATAGAAGTACTCTTACTATGGGAACTAATGCCATTTACACTTGTATCCCACTTTTCCATTACAAATAGCGTCCAAAATGTGTAACGACATCAGTAAAAAGAAACTGAGCAACAAAACTGCTGAAACAACACTAAGTAAGCCTCAAGCCCTTTTAAACAGCTAGTTTAAAAAGACGAGTCTTCACATCCTTCCTAAAAGTAATAGAGGCCAAAACAGTAAAAAGAAGCCACACAAGTTGTGGAACAAGAAATCTTAATTAAGAGCCACTAGCAGGGATTATAGGGTGACTGTACTCAGCTGGGGCAAGCCAGCAGAGACTGAGGCCTTTCTGTGCTGGAAATCAGGATACTTCACGCTAGGATAGAAGCAAGCTGCAAAATGAGTAAAGTATCTTTAAAGGCATGAGTCACTAGAGAATTAATTGACATACTACTTCCTCTGAACTGACACTTTGGTGAAGTGCTTTCAGAACATCCTTATCTTAAACTGCGTTACGATGACTGCAGTTTGGCATCATTTTCATAATGTGCTCACACAGTCTGTTTTTTTCAGAGTCTTCTGTTCTTCTGTCTCTGTCAATACAATATTCTGTATTCAGTTCAGCTGCATGGTAGCCACAACCCCACCCACCATGGCTTACTTATGAATGCAGTATCCATGCTAGTGGATTATTCAGAGGCAAAACAAAAACAAAAGCCCTAAACCAATACATTCTGAATAAAGCCATGTTTAAGACCATGAAAATGTTTAAAATAATAATAATAATAAGAAGAATGAAAGCAGATTTAAGCCATTTTTGCTCTCATCAGTCAGTGTGGATATATCTGCCTTGTAGCACATGACTGCAAAATGAACAAGGCTTTTATTGATAGTCCCATAAACTATTCATTAATAACGTTTCTGAATGATTTCATAAAGTAAAGATAGTCACCTCCCCTGAGTATTAACTGCATAGATTTTAGCTTATTTGAATACGCATACCATGTTACTAGATCCAGCTTCAAGCAAATCAGTACAGAAATGCTATATGGAAAGCTTTATGAATGCTTTGACTACAGGATTTATAATTTTAAGGTATAGGAGACAGAAAAAGAGGCAGAGTAGTATACTGTAGTGGCAACAAGTGCTGGCTTGGCTTGGTCAAATCTGAATTCAGTGAATGTAAATGTGAACAGTGCAGCTATAAAGTTGTCAGCTTCAGCATATGCCCCATTGCGCGGCAAATTGAACCTCCTTGTAGCCAGGGCCAATTTTTTAGTCCAGAAATAATTTCTGCAGCCATTGTAAAATTTGATGATTTCCTGCTGCTGTTCTTTTTCAGGTCTAGTGCCATCAATGTAGTGAAAATACTACGAGTCCTGCGAGTCCTGAGACCATTGAGGGCTATCAACCGAGCCAAAGGCCTAAAGGTAAAGGACATCTCAAAAGTTTATTAAAGATTAAGCACTAACTTGCTTTCTGTAACTGCTTTAGGGCAAAGAGCTGTAAGAAAGGGCCTCTCCTTTCCTGATCTGAGTGAATACAGAGCTTCTCTGCAGTTATCAACAAGCCTTCAGTAATGGAGCACAGTATGTCTTCATCCTGTGCTGGCAACCTTAAGGAAGGGAGTTAAGTGTTTCACTTTGCTCTTCTGTTCACAAAGAGACAAGGAGTAATGATTCATTCTTAATACAGGGCAGAGTCTTCAGAACAACTTTATAAAGGACAGACATTCATTGTAATGTAAAAAAAAGAGGAAGATTCCATTAAGGTGTGGTTAAACCTAACTGATGCCCCTGGTAAATCCATCAGGGTTCCTCACACAGCATAAGACATTTTATTCTCTTTTCAACATTTTTAATTGAAGCCTGATTACCTTGTCTTAGAGAGTGATGTTGATTCTGTTTCTTGACCATACCATACATCAAGAAAGTTGAAAATGTTACAACATTTGCCAAGAAAATGTCCAGCAGTTTGAGCGAAGGCAAAGGGAGAGTCTAAACATCCCAAGGACTCAGGTGTGCAAGCTGTCTGTGAGCACTGGCCATCCTGTGTGATAGCCAGTACTTTTTTTGGGTCAATATTGTGGTTGGGGGGGAAGGGGGGGAGTTCTCCAACCACAATATTGACCCAACATTCAAATCACTCTCTGGGCCCAATGGAGAATATCATTTAGCTGGTGGATCTTATGCCTTATAGTTTTAGCTCATGTTGCTTTCGGAGATGTGTATGGAAAAAAATTCTGTCTATTGTGAGGTAGTTGAGACTCTGTGACACTGATTATATTCTTAAGAAGGAGCAGGAGCACAAAGATCACTGACAGTTCCAATCCACAGATACGGTGTGGATGATGCATATGAAGATGGCATGATTTATTTACTTATATCAAACTCTGAAATAAATTTTTAAAAATGATTAAAATTTTTGTCTTTTGCTTGCAGCATGTGGTCCAGTGTGTGTTTGTAGCCATCAGAACAATAGGAAATATTGTGATTGTCACCACACTGTTACAGTTCATGTTTGCCTGCATTGGAGTTCAGCTTTTCAAGGTAAATACGGAATTTGTTTCCTCTCTTCTTCTTCATTTACATTTAGAAAAAGAAGGTGGGATTGTTTGGAGAAGGAGGAAGATAAGGAATCTCCTGGAACTTTACACATACTGTTGTCACATATAATATTAAAGTGATTGACCTGTTTACCGTAAACTGACAGGCAGCCTGGATTGCCTTTTTTAGACAGAGAGTATTAAATAGAGTGAACCAAACATACTCACTTTTTCTTTTTAGCTTTTTTGCTGTAAGGTTGTTACTTCTGACTTACAGCAGCCCAATGAATTAGGGACCTCCAGAAGGTCCTGTCATTAACAGTCCTGTTCAGTTTTTGCAAATTCAAGGCTTGATATCCATCTCCTATTCGGCTTTCTTCTTTTCCTGCTGCCTATAATTTTCCCAGCATTACTGTATTTTCTTTCCAAGTGAATCTGGTCTTCTTATGGTATGCCTAAATTATAGTAGCCTTAGTTTAGTCCTCGCTGCTACTAAAGAGAGTTTGGCCTTGATTAATCTCAGATCCACTTGTTTCTCTTTATGGCAACCACATTTCAAAATATTTGATTTCTTTTTTCTCAGCTTTCTTCACGGTCCAGCTTTCACATCTCTACATAACAATTGGGCATTATCGTAGTATGAGTGATCTTGGCCTAGTCTCCAGTGACATACAGTATACTTACTCTTAAGGGTTTGGTTTTTTTTGTACTTCCTTCATAGGGGCCCTTCATCTCAGTCTTCATCTAATTGTTTGGCTGCATTCTCCATTCAGAATCTTTTAGCTTATATTGAAAAACTATTTGCTTTTCATCCCTTTGTAAAGGGATGTTTAAATAAAACTTTTCCCGTATGCTTTGAATGCCAGTTTAGGTCTCTGCTCAAATGTATCTGTGCACAAAGTGAATATTTAGAGAAAAAGAGGAAGAATGTTTCCTTATTCCAAAGTCATTATACTGGTCACCAGCTTTGCATCTTGAATGACAATCTTCTGGTCTGAGGAAAAGCCTGCCCTGTGTAGGTACAACCCCCTTCAAACCTTTGGCACAGTTAGACATCTTTTGCTATGTATCATTGACAATGGACCAGCAGATGCATCCCTGCTTTCTTCACCTCATTTAGCGAAGGCATGGAACAGTCCTCCTGAAAAGGACTTGGAGGACTCAAGCTCTTCTCTGGAGAGTCTTCTCTGTAACAGTGTGCTACCATCTTGATCATATAAGTATACATACATAATCAGATGTGTAAGTGCTAAAAATGACAGCACCCAGAATTGCCTGACCCTTCTTCTTCTCAGGGTGTTCTTGCTAGTCCTGTACTTTCTCTAATGCTAACAGATTTTCTGTCTATAAGGCTGCTTTCATCAATAAAAGTAATGAGGGTGACTATGAAGTGCAAAAACCCAAATAAGTCTTCAAGTTGCTTTGCAAAGACTCTGCATTAAATACATCACCATTGTTTAAAGAGATCGCTGCTATATTATTTGAAGAGATTAGAGATGGAGATTAAAGCAATGGGACGGTGAAATAATAGCACAAAATCTTCAAAATATCATTCCTCGTTTTTCATGTGATTTTGAGCACTACAAACTTGAGCAATTTGTCGCATTCCTGAGGCAAAAATCTAGAGCTGTTGATCCCTAGCTCAGCTCTATTCAGAATCATTTGCCTTCAGAAAAAAAAAATGATGAGTCTCATCTCTATAAATAATAATCATGTGCTATCAGGTCAATTCTGACTTATTGCAATAATTTTTAGGGTTTTCCACATAGAAAATACTCAGAATTGGTTTCCCGTTCCCTTCTTCTGGGGCCATCCTTGGACTGTGCAGCTTGCCCAAGGCCACCCAGGCTAGCTCTGCTTGCAGGAGGCACAGTGGAGAATCAAAGTCCCAACTTCTGGCTCTAAACCGCCTCTATTGCAACTTTTAAGTTTCAAGTCAGTCATAGAATCCTGCTAAATTTTTGTGCAAGTTTAAATTTCCATCACTTACACTCAACATCTGTCTCATATTGCTTCCCAGATTTCCATTATCTAATGTCAATTTTTTCTCTCTGTAAGATAATCATATGTCTCATAAAAAATAAGGGCCAAATCCATACAGATATAGTAGATGTAGTAAAAATGTAATATGTCAATAGGTGAAGAAAACACAAGACTTTTTTTTTCAATGAAGAACTAATTAAAGCATAACTCAGTGATTAAATGATCTGTGGTTTTATTACTTTCATCCTCCTCCAGGGCAAATTGTATAGCTGCAGCGATAGCTCCAAGCAAACAGAAGCTGAGTGCAAGTGAGTTCAATCATCTCTGGCGAGCCTTTTGTGGCAATTGTACTTAATGCCAAAAAGTTACTTGTTCTGTGTATGTTCCTCCCTTGATACCTTACTTCTCTTAACAGGGGCAGTTTTATTACATACAAAGATGGAGAAGTGTCTCAACCAATGATCCAGCCTCGAAGGTGGGAGAACAGCAAATTTGATTTTGACAATGTTCTAACTGCCATGATGGCCCTCTTCACTGTTTCAACCTTTGAAGGCTGGCCAGAGTGAGTATACACTAATTCACAGTATCAGTGTATGTTGGTGTGGGTGTGCTTGGTTGGGTTTATTTTGCATGTTCAAATTATCTCATCTCCATTCAACTCCTTTATTAAATGTTAGATTATGATGTGGCACTAATTGAAACATTCACAAGGTTGTCTCACTGTACCAAAATATGAAGCTTAGTGGCACTTTCAGATGTTTGCCTCCCTGTACTTCTACTTGAATGCTGTAACATGCAATTGGAAGATTGGAAAAGATCTTCAAGAAAAGTAGGTGCTCATGTTCTGTGTCACTTTCAGGCTTATTGTGGGAAACTGGTACCACTTAGACTACTCCCACCGTTGATCAGGAGACTTTGTGGACAGAACCACTCTTCAGTACAATCCCAGTACCTAGAGACACCTAGCTATGCCCTTAGTATCTGTCTTGGGTTGTCTCCCTTTTTTCTAGACTGCTGTACCGATCCATAGATTCCCATATGGAAGATGTGGGGCCCATCTATAACCACAGGGTGGAGATCTCCATTTTCTTCATTATCTACATCATCATCATCGCTTTCTTCATGATGAACATCTTCGTTGGTTTCGTCATCGTCACTTTTCAGGAGCAAGGAGAGCAAGAATACAAGAACTGTGAGCTGGACAAAAACCAGGTAAGATGAAATTTTCTTGGTGTGACTGAAAAAGTGAAATGTATTGGGTGGTACTAAGGCTGATAATAGCTAAAATAATGTCTTATTAAGTACCATATTTTCTGTGTATAAGACGCCCCCCACTTTTCTAAGTAAAATTTTCTTTCTTTGCATTTTCATTGCAAAAAGCAGCTTCCCCCCCCTCCACGTTTTGCAAAGAAAATGCAGGGGGGACACGATTTCTGCTTTCTCCCTACATTTTTGTTGCGAAGGTTTAGCAATGAAAATATAGTGGAAAAGTAGAAATCACTTTCCCCCTGCATTTTCTTTGCAAACCTTAGAGGCAGAACGCTGCTTTTTGCAGTGAAAATGTAGGGAGAAAGCAGAAATCACTTTCCCCCTGCATTTTCTTTGCAAAACGTGGAGGGGAAAACAGGGATCAAAGCACTTTGATCCCTCCCCCCACCTTACTTCAAAGTATAAAACAACCCTCAATTTCCCTTCAATTATTTTAGGGAAAAGTGTCATTTTATACACAGAAAAATACAATAATTTAAATACCGAAACCAAATATATGTAAACTGGCTTATGGCCACTGCTATTGTACATGTGTCACAGAGAACATAATGTTCCTATGGAGATTTTTATTTACTGGCCAGAATCCTATTGCTAATTTGCACTTGCATAAGATATCTCTTGGTGGCAAATTGTCATTAATTAATGAGATCCTAGTTACCTTCCTGTGTGCATGCCCAACAAGTACTTCATCAATGAGCAGGAATTTGCTGCAAGACTTACCCAATTTGTGTTCTGCAAGCATAAGGATTCTCAGCAGCATTTAACTGCAGTATTTCTATAGTAGTATTTTAAAACTATATTACAAAAAGCTACCACAGCAGTGCACAATAAGGCTTAAACAAAACTGTTAAACTGCCCAAAGCAAAACCTGATCAGTAGAACAGTTAAACACATTAGGATAATTAATACACTAAAATAATATAATAGTCCAGATTAAAGAATGAAGAGAGCCAAGAGAGGTAGGGCCAGTCATAATTTGTGGGAAAGGGCATTCCACAAAATTGGAGCTTTGTGGGAGAAAGCCCTACTCCACATGCCTAGCAAACAGCTTCTGTGGTATTCTAAGGAGGTGTGCTTTAAAGATCTCAATACCTAGAACAGTTCATAGTGATGGGTGGTCCATTCAATAGCACAGCCTTGAACTATATAGAATTTTCAAAATAGAACCAATAGCTTAATTTAAATACAGATAAATATTGTGAAACAGTATGTATTTTTCAATGGTGTAATATGGTCTTGATATAATGCAGCTTTTAGTACCTAGTTCCCAGATTTTATAATACATGAAGCCCTTGTTTTGTGACTTATCCAGACATGTAGATTTCATAGATTGTAATCGATAAAAGCTCATGTTAAAATAAATTTGTTAAGTCTTTATATACACACACATATATCGGTACTAATATAGCTACTTGTTTGAAAACTGAAGCTCCTGGATATTTTTCAGGGATAATGATATGGGCATGGTTCAGTAGTCTAAATGTGAGAAATGGCTAACTATTACCAAATCAGACTGGATCATGAAAAGCTGCAGCTGCCACATTAATGTTAGTCATTGACTTAGTCCTTGTCACCTTCATCATACTTGGGACACAAGGGACCTGAGGTTTAAAAATGCAGATGAAAACAAGACTGACAGATTTCTGCATCTCTGCGTATACTGACCCTTTTAAAAATCATCAGCCCAGAGAAGAGTATTAAAGAACGGTGGCCTAAAAGATACATAATTGCAGAACTGTCATACATGTGTACCTGTCGGACCATTTAATCCACTGGGCTTTTTTCTTAACAGCGCCAGTGTGTCGAGTATGCTCTGAAGGCCCGTCCCCTGCGGAGGTATATCCCCAAAAACCAGTACCAGTACAAAGTGTGGTATGTGGTGAATTCCACCTATTTTGAATACCTGATGTTCGTCCTCATCCTTCTGAACACAATCTGCTTGGCCATGCAAGTAAGTCAGAAATTCAAATGTATTGTATTATGTTTGGGAGCATTCCGTTCTGTTAAAAAGAATGTTTATAGTCCATAACATGCTTAGCTGCCAACTATTAATCATCAGGGAAAGAAAATGAAAGTAGGTGCTGAGAAGACATATTTTACAGAAAAGCAGACTAAAAATGTGGCCCATTTCTACATGAAAGAACCAATATTGTGTGTCACAACAAATTCACTCTACTCCAAAAGAGCAAAATTAGCCCTATTAGCCGTATCTGATTTTCTCCCATATATAAATAAAGGAAAACTTAGTGACTCCCCATTGTCACCTGCTCCATGTAGAGAATGATGAAAGTGTTGAGAAGAGATTCCTGTTAATGTGTAGGCTCTCCATTGAGCAAGAATGCTGTAAAATGGGGATTCGTGCCTGAAGGGAGAGCCTATGTGCAACAGAGACCCTCCCTTCTGAAAACAAGCGGCTGTCCAAATGGGAAAAGCAAAGATAAAGAGAAGAGGTGATATGTGCACCCTGCTCATGTATTGGAAAGAACCATGTAAATAACACCTACAGTCATGGCCAAAAATATTGGCACCATTGCAATTCTGTCAGAAAATGCAACCCTTCTCTCAGAAAATTGTTGCAGTTGCAAATGTTTTGGTACTCACATGTTCATTTCTTTGGTTTGCGTTGGAACATCACAAAAAAAAGAGAAGAAAAGTCAAATCTGATACAGTCCCACACAGAATCCCAAAAATGCACTGGCCAGAGAGTACAGCTTGGAGAGAGTGTATCGGCTCCATGGAGTCTCAATTGTGGGGTTCCGCAGGGCTTGATTATCTCCCCAGTGTTGTTTCAGGGGGTGTGAGGCTTCGTGTCATCAATACGCTGATGATACCCAGCTCTACATCTCCTTTTTCCCAACAACAGTGGATGCCATTTTGTCCCTTGAGCACTGCCTGGACGTTGTATTGAAATGGATGCAGGTGAATGGACTGAGGCTGAACTTGGACAAGACGGAGGTCCCGAGGGTGGGTGGCCCCGCCATCAGTGGTTTCAGAAACTCTGTCACATTTGGGGGAGTGACTCTTACCACGAATAGTGAGGTTCACAGCTTGGGGGGTCCATCTGGATCCGGCGCACACCATGGAAATCCAGGTAGCGTCAGTCGTCCACACCACCTACTTCCATCTTTGGTGGACTGCCCAGCTACATCCCTATCTTGATGGTGGGGCACTCACCACTCTGGTCCATGTGCTTATAATCTCGAGATTAGACTACTGTAATGCGCTCTATGTAGGGCTACCTTTGAGATTGATGCGGAAGCTTCAAGTGGTGCAGAATACAGCGGCCAGACTTCTCACTGGGATGAGAAAACATCAACATATTTCCCCCACTCTTGCTGCCCTGCATTGCTGCGATTTGTTTCCGCATTGATTTCAAAGTATTACTAATGATTTATAAAGCCCTAAACACTTTAGGGCTTTATATCTAGTGGAACACCTTCTCCACCTAGATCTATCCGAATCATTCGTTTTAGCCAGGATGAGCGGCTGAGGGGCCTAACGCCGAGGCAGGCCTGGAAAAAAAGAACAAGAAACTGGGCCTTCTCAGCAGTGGCCCTTCACCTCTGGAACAATCTACCCCCATAAATTTGTCGCACCCTTCTCCTCTTGCCTTCACACTTTCCCAACATCAAGGTCTTTTTCAAGGAGACTTCTCTTCTCAAGAGATCGCCAAAGTATTGGAGCCTCACTTCAGGATCTGTCCTTCCAGTGAGCACTCAGGGTTGATTTCCTTCAAAATGGATAGGTTTGTTCTCCTTGCAGTCCAGGGGACTCTCAAGAGTCTCCTCCAGCACCACAATTCAAAAGCATCAATTATTCAGCGGTCCGCCTTCTTCATGGTCCAGCTCTCACTTCCATACATTGCTATAGGAAAAACCATAACTTTGACTATGCAGACCTTTGTCAGCAAGGTGATGTCTCTGCTTTTTAAGATGCTGTTGAGGTTTGTGATCCCTTTCCTCCCAAGTAACAGGCATCTTTTGATTTCATTGCTGCTGTCACCATCTGCAGTGATCGTCCTCTTTTCCAATTCTCTGGCCACTGCTGAGTTCTCCAAACTCTCTGGCATATTGAGTGTAGCACCTTAGCAGCATCGTCTTTTAAGGTTTTAAATAGTTCCACTGGACTACCATCACCTCCACTGGCCATGTTGTTAGCCATGCTTTCTAAGGCCCACTTGACTTCACTCCCCAGGATGTCTGGCTCAAGGTCAGCAACCACACTATCTGGGTTGTCCAGGATATCCAGATCTTTCTGATATAATTCCTCTGTGTATTCTTGCCACCTCTTCTTGATATCTTCAGCTTCTGTGAGGTCTCTACCATTTTTGTCCCTTATCATGTCCATCTTTGCACAAAATGTTTCTTTAATATCTCCAATTTTCTTGAACGGAGTTCTGTTTTTTCCCTTTCTCTTATTTTCCTCTATTTCTTTGCACTGTTCATTTAAGAAGGCCCACTTGTCTCTTCTTGCTATTCTTTGGAAGTCTGCATTCCATTTTCTGTAACTTTCCCTATCTCCCTTGCATTTTGTTTTCCTTCTCTTTTCTGCTATTTGTAAGGCCTTGTTGGACACCCACCTTGCTTTCCTGCATTTCCATTTCTTTGGAATGGTTTTTCTTGCTGCCTCCTGTACAGTGTTACGGGCCTCCATCCATAGTTCTTCAGGCACTCTGTCCACCAAATCAAGTTCCTTAAATCTGTTCTTCACTTCCACTGTGTATTCATAAGGGATTTGGTCTAGATTATACCTGACTAGACCAGTGGTTTTTCCTACTTTCTTCAGTTGAAGCTTGAGTTTTGCTATAAGAAGCTGAGATCAGAGCCACAATCAGCTCCAGTTCTTGTTTTTGCTGACTGTATAAAGCTTCTCCATCTTTGGCTGCAGAGAATATAATCAATCTGATTTTGGTGTTGCCCACCTGGTGGTGTCCATGTGTAGAGTCGCCTCTTGTGTTGTTGAGAAGAACATATTTCTTTGGTGTCAGTTCTAGAAGGTGTTGTAAGTCTTCATAGATTTGGTCAATTTCAGCCTCTTCAGCATTGGTGGTTGGTCGATAAACCTGGATTACTGTGATGTTGAAAGTTTTGCCTTGGATTCGTATTGAAATCATTCTATCATTTTTGAGATTGTATCCCAGTACAGCTTTTCTTACTCTTTTCTTGACTATGGGGCTACTCAATTTCTTCTATGGGATACTTGCCCACAATAGTAGATATGACAATTGTCTGAATTGAATTCACCCATTCCCATCCATTTTAGTCCACTGACGCGCAGGATGTCAATGTTTATTCTTGCCATCTCCTATTTGACCACATCCAGCTTACCAAGGTTCATAGATCTTACATTCCAGGTTCCTATGCAGTATTTTTCTTTGCAGCATCGGACTTTCCTTTCACTTCCAGGTGTGTCCACAGCTGAGCATCCTTTCAGCTTTGGCCCAACCATTTCATTAGCTCTGGAGCTACTTGTACTTGTCCTCTGCTCTTCCTCAGTAGCATTTTGGATGCCTTCCAACCTGAGGGGCCCATCTTCCAGCGTCATATCTTTTAGCATTTGGTTCTGTTCATGGAGCTTTCTTAGCAAAGTTACTGGAGTGGCTTGCCAGTTCCTGCTCCAGGTGGATCGCGTTTAGTCAGAACTCTCCACTATGACCTGTCTGTCTTGGGTGTCCCTGCATGGCATAGCCCATAGCTTCTCTGAATTACTCAAGCCCCTTCGCCATGACAAGGCAGCAGTCCGTGAAGGAGTAATAATTTAAAATACCTGGGTAATAATGCCTGGTTAATATCAATGCCATTGTATATAGTTCTGTTTTCAAGAATGACATGGTATAAAGTTGTTTTATACAGTAATGCTAGGTGTGATTATAATAATAGCTACTGGAAGCCTAGCCAGACTGCAGTAGCTCCATATTAAATTTGACAGACAGGCAGGCAGGCCGGCAGACAGACAGATAGATACCCTGTTTCCCCGAAAGTCAGACAGGGTGTTATATTAATTGTTGCTCCAAAAATGCATTAGGGTTCATTTTCGGGGGATGTTTTATTTTTTTCATGTACAACAATATACATTTATTCAAATATAGTTATGTCATCTTCTGGTTGCTGCACATTGGTGGAAGGTGGGGTTTCACTTAACTGGGGCTTATTTTGGGGGTAGGGCTTATATTATGAGCATCCTGAAAAATCCTACTAGGGCTTAGGTCTTATTTTAGGGGAAACAGGGTAGAACAGACAGACAGACAGACAGATCGATAGATCGATCAATCGATAGATAGATAGAAGTACATGTTCTCACATTATAGAAGTACATGGGTTTTGAGTTGCAGGAAAGTTTTTTGTAGAATGAATTCATTAAAAATGAAAAGAATAATAAACAGATGGGATATGAGGGTCAGCATCTTTTAAAAACTGGTGAAAGGGGAAGACAAATATGTGTGTGGCTCACTTTACTTTTCAAAATGAACACGGTCTACTTTTACAAAATATAAATTAAGTGGTTTATTTTTTAGCACTATGGACAGAGCTGCCTCTTCAAAGAAGCAATGAACATTCTCAACATGCTATTCACCGGCCTGTTCACCGTTGAGATGGTTCTGAAGTTAATTGCTTTCAAACCCAAGGTAGGTATTATTGTTCAAAGCTTCTCTGTACACCTATAGGATCAAATGGAGGACAGGAGGTCATATACAGTACAATATCACATTCTACTCCACCACCTATTCAAGACATGAACTTGAGCAGTTGTTGTCTGGACTGGAGTCTCAATTTGTGCTTGGAGCAGCCTTTCATTCTTGAATGAATATAGAGACAGAAGAAACATGCCTTTAGAAACATAAAATCAATGTTTCAACATCCCCACACGAATATTATGAAGGTGTGTCTTTGAGGTGAGCCATTGCAAGCTGAAATTTCTCATTACTAGTCACATGGTTAAAATGGTTTTGTGACAGTGCCCCCTACAAAGTAATATTGCAAAATGGGAAAAACAGCTTTTCACCCAATATTTATTTACTTGCCTATTTTTATAGGATCCTGCTTTTATCTGGGTACATTTAAAGACCAGTTTTCCATATAAATGTTGAAATGTTTCACTTTCTCTAAAAATGTTTTGGGGATTGGCTCCTAAAATTTCTAATTTTGAGCACAGGGCTAAATCCCAAGAAAGCAGACCCATGGAAATAAGTGGTGACTAACAAAACTCATTCACTTCAGTGGTTTATTCTAGTTGGGATATATTGGAGTAAAACCATAGACAGGGTACTGAATCAAGAGTTCATTGGGTCCATCACTAGAGGCCACTTTGGGTACCATGGACATAGTCATTTCACTTCAAAATCCTTTCCTGGTCTCTGTCCCCCCTCAGCAGTATAATTCTAGGACACAGACAGGCATTCAAGAGAGTCATTGTGAAGTAAAGAATAGAATATTGGACTAGGACTTTGGAGTCCTGCGTTCAGATTCCTGCCTAGCCTTGGAATCTCACTTGTGGAGGGTGGCAATGGTGAACCAGTCCTTGAACGTCTCATATACCTCAGAAACCTTGTTAGGGTGCCATAAATTGGAAGTGACTTGGTAGTACACTACCATGATTGTTAAACATCAGGTGCATAGAAATCCATACAAGCCTATATGTGTTGACTCTTGGACTAAACTGTGTTCTATCTTCATGGCAAGCCGTGTAGCTCCATATATCTAGGAACATCAGCATATACCCTAAACCATGATACCTAGCTTTCAAAGTTAATAAACAGCTTGAGGTGACTACATGCATTGTTGTGTCTTGATCTGTTACAAAAACTCCTGTCTTTTGGTATGCCAGTGTGAGCTTGGACTTTAATCATCATCATCATCATCATCATCATCTTTGAACTGTAGAGCTGGAAGGGACCCTATGGATCATCAGGTCCATCAGTGTGCAAGGTGGCACAGTGGGAAATTTAACTCTCAACCTCTGGACCTCTGGCTCTGCAGCCAGGGACCTACGCCACTGACTTGAATCATCTATATTGACAGGAAATCTATCAGATCATAATACTGTAAGAACTGTAGCTATCCTTATTGTAAGCCATATTGGGCAGGCAATTTCAAAGCTTCTGGAAACTGCCAGGCCAGTTTTTAATAAGAAAATGTATTAAAAACCCACTATATAATCTGTTCCTCCTAGACATCTAGATGTTTTTCATGTATGGATAAATATTGAAATTAACTCTGCTTCCATATCATGGTCCTGATCTCTGTTGGGACTTATTATTGTAATGTTTGAAGATGTCCAGAATGGCAATTGCACATTTCAACTTCTCAGAGTAAATGTGTCAACTACTGATTGCTGCCAGCACTATTATAGTTATGGAAAGGGATGGCAAATTTGGGGAAACGTCATAAGGCTGAGGGAAACAGAGGCCTTATGACTGAAGCTAGGTCAGATGAAAATATGCTGCAGAAAATGTGGGATTCCCAAGGCTTTCTCTATCCCTCTGTCCTAAAATAGTCCAGAAAATATTTTGGCCTACAAAATGCAAATTGTACCTCCAAACTGAGTACTTTAGTGCATGATGTTTAGACTTAAACAAACTTAAAAGGAAAAATCCAATATGAACATATAGTGACATCCATTTCTTTTTTAAAAGTTTTAAAAAGAAACACCCCAGAGCTATTAGATTTACAGGGCAAACAGAGAGTTGGGTGTTAGGTATAAAGAGCCTTTTTGAAGAAATGTTTGATTTAAAAAAAGTTTAGGGAGGCACAATTTCTTAGCAAGTCTCCATTAGTCCAACCTTGCCCAGGGTGCTGAATGATATGGCATTGTCTCAGCTACAGGGGTTTCTGAATGAGATGATTTATAAGGATCCATTTCAGCCTGGCCTCAGTTCTGAAAACTGGACAAAGACTGCTTTGGTTGCCTTCACTGACACTCTGTGGCAGATAGTGGACAGGGGAGTGTGCCCTTGTTGTTACTACTCAGCCTCATGGTGGCTTTTGATGACATCAGCCATGGTCTCCTTTTGGAATAGAACTTGGTTGCATTGGTTTTTCATGGCTCTGATCCTTCATAGCCCTGATCCTTAAGGGGGAGCAAGTTCAGAAAGTAGTGCTGCGAGATTATAATTAAATAGTCATCTGAGCTGGGGATGCCAAAAAAATGAACCTAGAATTTTCTCTGCATGCATTGTTGTAAGGTCTATAATTGCAGTAGCGTGCAGTCTGTACTGCCATATTTTATGATCTCTCTCTCAGAGGAAAGGTCTGCAGGATATGCTTTTTCTAGCATGCAGACAATACAAGAAGAAATACATCTTTATTTATGTTGGGCTAGACTTGATAGTATAGAAGAAAACCAATAACAAAGCTGTCTACCCTATAGAAGAACACTGTGAGGGGAAGGTGGCAGCAGGGAGAGACAGAGAAAACTTTAGTTGCTCTATTGCATCATTTTATGACAAAACAAAGATCAAAGAGAAAGGAAAAGCTGTGGTGGGGAACAAGAACATTTTCTTGGATGGTGGATCACCCAATCTTTTTAAGCATGACTGAGCTCCCATGTCTCTCACCAGGAATGAGATTTCACTTGTTATGTGGTGCTGTCCCTCAGTTTGGAAAATGTTAGAGAACACCTACTTTTTCTCTTCTTTGGCTATTTATATAATAATTTGTAAATTGCATTAGTGTATTGCAGAAAGATCTAGTGGCTGGGCAGAGGCATCATAGACTGAGATAACATGGTAAGCAAAATCCAGTGATGTGGTTGTGTGGTTCACTAGTTCCATGGCCAACAAGGAACCTGCTGGTATTTCATACCCATTATGAAAAACAGGAGACAGTATCAAAGAACAGGGACTGTTTTTAGTTCAGCAAACATATCCAGGAAATTTCTGTATTTCTGCAGCATTGTGACAGGTATTTCCAGCTGAGCTCTTGAATTTTTCAACAATGCCATTATTTTTAAAAATTATATGAGTGTGCATAATGTGGTGCTGTGTGAAGCACTAGATTAGCTGTTATGCTTAATCATCTAATATAAAAATTATTCATGTTGTGTTAAAAAGCCCAGTGGGATAGTGCAATGGGGTCTCATTTGGAATTGTGCCTGAAGGAACAGCAGCTGCACAAAAAGGAGAATGTTTTACTACAGAAAAGGTCACCCCATTGGATGAGAATCCCAAATTGTGTGTGTTGGGGAGGTCTTATACCAGAAGTATGAATATTGATTTGGACTGAGGCAAACAACAGGTCTTCTCAATGGGGATAAGTGAAGTAGAGCTCAAATTAATATGAGCTGTTCTGTCCATTCTTTTCTGTGAATCTGAGAGCATTTCAGACTTTTTTTGCAGAAAGGTGAGTGACAATTAAATAAAAAATTAGACTACAATGCATATTAATTGAATATTCACAAAACAACTAGATTTTTTTGACATTTTTGATAGCCAACATGTGAAGAATTTAGCGTGCAATTGGATATTTAAACTGCTGATACTGTTGAAACCTAGAATGTTGATTAAATATCTCAGAGGCAGTTGAGTGTAGTGGTAACATCTAGTGCAGTATATCGGTTAAAGGTTTAGATTAAAATTTAAGAAAGCTGGATTCAAATTTTCACTCAGCCATGAAACTTTATGAGTTGCCTTGGTCACATGTTCTCAGCCTGATCTACTTCACGGGGTCGTTTTGTGAATACTGAAGAGGAGTATCATGTATGTTGCTTGAGCTCACTGGAGGAAAAGCAGAGTACAAACATTGTAAATAAATGAGTGTAAACTATGTGGAGGAGAGAGCACAAAAGCACTTTTTTGCATCCACATTTTCCTTTTCCAGTAAAATCCATTTTGCACACAGAAGGAAATCAAATCAAATGGCTAAGATAATTAATGCATCATAAATCTTTAAAACAGCTCAGTGAGTAGGCACCTGGTTGGAAGTTTGATTCCTCAGTGTGCCTCTCAAAGGAAGAGCCAGAGATGTAGCTAACAAAAATTAAGAATTGATAGATATTGCACTAAACAACAGCTCTGGGCACTAGTTATTTGTGCTTTGGTTGACTCCTCAAGTCCAGTTAGCTACATGACCTTTAGTTGTGCTGTTCTTCTTAAAAACTTTGTGGCATCTAGAGTTGATTTATGCAAAATTTCATTGCTTTGGGTATAATATTGGTGTTTATATCTTTTGACCAATACAGTCTCATAAGTGTTAAAGTTTGATGTCTCTACTGATGTTCAGTAATCGTGTGTATAAGAGTGTGAGCTGGCAGGGTGAGAGTAAGCAGTCATGTTCAGTTCTATTTTCAAATGAAAAATCCTTGAACAGGCTTGATAAAGAGTAAAAAAGGAATGTATAACCAACAATATTCTTTCCATGCCTAGGCACAAAAGTGAATTCTGCCTATCAAAATAATGGTTTCCATTCAGGATGAAAAGGAGACCTGCTTATTGTGTTAGGTATATGCCTGGATAATTGACCTTAGGGTCTTTTCAGCTTCTATTGCAGTTGAAAGCATGCTGTTTGGTATCACCTAATTCCTGTAGGATAGCTGAATAGTTCAGTGAGTTAGGTATCTGGCTGTAGAGCCAGTGGTTGAGAGTTCAGTTCCCTACTTTGCTTCCCAAGAGAAGAGCCAGCCTGTGGAAGC